GGAGCTGTGAAAAAAAGAGTGGCGTGGCGAAAGGTCAAAGTTTGAGGCTTAGCCACGCCCACACCTTTATACTTATTTAAAATCCGACGGTTGAATTTTTTCCTCTATGTCTTAAGACTATATAGCAGAAGTTTGAAAGTGATTGGTGAAAAGGGCGACGGAGTATCACTCTCCAAACAACGTGTGTGAAAACCACTAAATCGCGCACTTGGACCAAAATGGCCGACTTCCTGTGCGACTTTGCACTTGGCTCCAAGAGACTTTTTTGTAGGTCCTGAGACACCACATTAGTGTACCAAATTTCGTAATCCTCAGTCAAAGCATGGCTTGGGGCTGACAGTTTTAATGGTCCTAGGGGGCGCTATTTCAGAAAATAGGCCACGCCCACCAGATGTTCACATCAGATCTTTTGGGGGGCCGGACTAGGATCACTCACAAGAAGTTTCGTGACGATATCTTTGGAAATGACGAAATGGGAGGCAAACGTAAGGCCACGGCGGTACGCCTGAATTCGCCGCGCCGCCACAGCCCCGCCCTCTGCCGAAAACTCCCATAAAGTGACGCCAAGCAACCCCCACTTGTCTTGAGTTACCAGCTACAAATTTGTGATGATTAAGTGAAATGGGGCAATTTGGGACCTTTCACAGTAAAACTTGATCTTTTTGGTCCTGAGGGGGCGGGGCTTGTGTGATGTCATCATCCGACCATTCAATTTACTTTGTGGGTGGATGACGAATGACCACAGAAAGTTTGGTAACTCTATTCCATTCATTTATGAAGTTATAGCAATTTAAATATTTTTGGCGAGTAGTCAAACTTCGAGGCCTGGCCCCGCCCCTTCAACATATACGAAAACTCAGAATTCTCATCTCATTTTGTTCGCCCATCCCTTCTTAGCAATTTTACACAATTTTTGAGACGATCGTGCGAAAAATGATCGAGCAATCCAATCAGGAACGGACCCTAAAAACGGCAAAAACTGCAAAAAATCGCCATTTCAACCCAAAATGGCCGACTTCCTGTTTGATATTGACCATGGTTGCAAGAGACTTTTCTGTGCGGACTGTTGAGTACTACAAGTGTACCAAATTTCATAACTGTACGATAAACTAAGCTTTATGGAGAGGGCTTTTTTTCACTTTCTAGGGGGCGCTGTTCAGCCAATTTCTTTGCGATTTTTTTGGGACCTTTAAAATATCAAATTTTTCACCAGGCCTGACAAGTTTGCAAAATATTGTGAGTTTTGGGGTATGTTAAGGTCCCCAAAAAGCCGTTCAAAGCGGGCTAAGAATAATAAAAAATAATTAAAGCTGCAAGCAGCGTCGTTCGGCCCTCGCAGCTCCGCGCCGCTCCGGCCTGGCCGACAGCCCGGGGCACCAGGGCACGTCTGGCAGAACAGAAACGTCAACCACCCCGACACTAGAAACCGCAAATGGCCTCCTAGTCCGCACCTCACCCTTACTCAGCATCCCCTCTGAGCTCACCATTAAATTGAATTGTAAGGTTGCGGCGTTACGCCAGAATTCGCCATGGCATCAAAGCCCCTCCCTTTCTGGAAAGCTATCAGATCTGAATGGTCAATACATTATCATGAAGACAGTGCATGACCTTGGTGTCATGTTGACTAAATTAGAGGGGACAAATATGGGCATTTCAGCATAAAAAAATAGACTTCCTGTAGTCAGGGGGCGGGGCTTAGGTGATGTCAGCTGTCCACATTGTCATTTTTTACAGATATGGTCAATGATCACACAGACAAAGTTTGAAAAAGATCCGATCTTGCACATGGGAGTTATTAAGTCAAGTAATGTAATGGCGAAAGGTCAAAGTTTGAGGCTTAGCCACGCCCACACCTTTCAACTTTTGAAAAATGCGACGGTTGAATTTTTTCCCCTACGTCTTAAGAGTATATAGTAGAAGTTTGAAAGTGATTGGTGAAAAGGGCGACGGAGCATCACTCTCCAAACAACGTGTGCGAAAACCACTAAATCGCGTACTTGGACCAAAATGGCCGACTTCCTGTGCGACTTTACGCTTGGCTCCAAGAGACTTTTTTGTAGGACCTGAGACCCCACATTAGTGTACCAAATTTCGTAATCTTCAGTCAAAGCATGGCTTGGGGCTATTAGTTTAAATGGTCCTAGGGGGCGCTATTTAAGAAAATAGGCCACGCCCACAAATTTCAGCTATGTTTGTCTCCTGGGGGTCAGACAAGGATCACTTAAAAGAAGTTTCGTAGCGCTATCACAATAACTGAAGAAATGAGAGGCAAACGTATTTCCATGATGTGATGGTGATTTTCGCCATGCTGCCAAAGCCCCGCCTTTACTCGAAACCTGCCAGTACTGGATACCAAGTGACCTCAAGTTGTCTACTGCTATTTGCCAGAGATTATTGGTGATTGGGTAAAAGGAGTCCAATAGGAAGCTGTGAAAAAAAGAGTGGTGTGGCGAAAGGTCAAAGTTTGAGGCTTAGCCACGCCCACACCTTTCAACTTTTGAAAAATCCGACGGTTGAATTTTCCCCCCCATGTCTTAAGAGTATATAGCAGAAGTTTGAAGGTGATTGGTGAAAAGGGGGACGGAGCATCACTCTCCAAACAACGTGTGCGAAAACCACTAATTCGAGTACTTGGACCAAAATGGCCGACTTCCTGTGCGAGTTTTTGCCTGGCTCCAAGAGACTTTTTTTTAGGTCCTGAGACACCACATTAGTGTACCAAATTTCGTGATCCTCAGTCAAAGCATGGCTTGGGGCTGACAGTTTTTATGGCTCTAGGGGGCGCTGTTTCAGAAAATAGGCCACGCCCACAAACTTCAGCTTTTTATTTCTCTTGGGGCTCAGACTAGGATCACTCACCAGAAGTTTCGTAGCGATATCACGATAACTGAAGAAATGAGAGGCAAACGTATTTCCATGGCATGATGGCGATTTTCGCCATGCTCCCAAAGCCCCGCCTTTTTTCGAAACCTGCCAGTACTGGAGACCAAGTAACCTCAACTTGTCTACTGCTGTTTGCCACAGAATCCTGGTGATTGGGTAAAAGGAGTCCAGTAGGGAGCTGTGAAAAAAAGAGTGGCGTGGCGACAGGTCAAAGTTTGAGGCTTAGCCACGCCCACACCTTTCAACTTTTGAAAAATCCGACGGTTGAATTTTTTCCCCTATGACTTAAGAGCATATGGCAGAAGTTTGAAGGAGATTGGTGAAAAGGACGACGGAGCATCACTCTCCAAACAACGTGTGCGAAAACCACTAAATCGCGTACTTGGACCAAAATGGCCGACTTCCTGTACGACTTTGCACTTGGGTCCAAGAGACTTTTTTGTAGGTCCTGAGACACCACATTAGTGTACCAAATTTCGTAATCCTCAGTCAAAGCATGGCTTGGGGCTGACAGTTTTAATGGTCCTAGGGGGCGCTATTTCAGAAAATAGGCCACACCCACCGGATGTTCACATCAGATCTTTTGGGGGGCCGGACTAGGATCACTCACAAGAAGTTTCGTGACGATATTTTTAGAAATGACGAAATGGGAGGCAAACGTAAGGCCACGGCGGTACGCCTGACTTCGCCGCGCCGCCACAGCCCCGCCCTCTGTCGAAAACTCCCATAAAGTGACGCCAAGCAACCCTCACTTGTCTTGAGTTAACAGCTACAAATTTGTGGGGATTGAGTGAAATGGGGCCATTTGGGACCTTTCATAGTAAAACTTGACCTTTTAGGTCCTGAGGGGGCGGGGCTTGTGTGATGTCATCATCCGACCATTCATTTTACTTTGTGGGTAGATGACGAATGACCACAGAAAGTTTGGTAACTCTATTCCATTCAATTATGAAGTTATAGCAGTTTTAATTTTTTTGGCGAGTAGTCAAACTTCGAGGCCTGGCCCCGCCCCTTCAACATATACGAAAACTCAGAATCCTTGTCTCATTTTGTTCGGCCATTTCTTCTGAGCAATTTTATACCATTTTTGAGACGATCGTGCGAAAAATGATCGAGCAATCCAATCAGAAACTGACCCTAAAAACGGCAAAAACGGCCAAAAATCGCCATTTCAACCCAAAATGGCCGACTTCCTGTTTGATATTGACCATGCTTGCAAGAGACTTTTCTGTGCGGACTGTTGAGTACTACAAGTGTACCAAATTTCATAACTGTACGATAAACTAAGCTTTATGGAGAGGGGTTTTTTTCACATTGTAGGGGGCGCTGTTCAGCCATTTTCTTTGCGATTTTTTTGGGACCTTTCAAATATCAAATTTTTCACCAGGCCTGACAAGTTTGCAAAATATTGTGAGTTTTGGGGTATGTTAAGGTCCCCAAAAAGCCATTCAAAGGGGGCACGGAATAACAAAAAAAGAAAGAATAATAATCGGAGCAAAAACAAGAGGCCTTCGCAGCGCTTTCGCTGCTCGGGCCTAATAATAAACAGAGCAAAAACAAGAGGCCTTCGCAGCGCTTTGCTGCTCGGGCCTAATAATAAACAGAGCAAAAACAAGAGGCCTTCGCAGCGCTTTGCTGCTCGGGCCTAATAATCAGAGCAAAAACAAGAGGCCTTCGCAGCGCTTTCGCTGCTCGGGCCTAATAATAATAATAATAATAATAATAATACTGCGATGGACTGGCTCTCTGTCCAGGGTGTACTCCGCCTGATTGCCCATTGACCGCTGGAGATAGGCAACCCCCACCCCCCCCACCCCCGTGACCCTACGTGTACAAAGCGGGTTCAGACAAAGGATGGGTGGATGGACAGTAATAATAATAATATATTTAGATAGTTTATGTCACAGATGTGAAACACGGGCAGCATCGAAAACAATTAAAGGGATTTAAACTTGACTCATCTTAGCAGAGTAAAGCACCAGGAAACTTCTCATTAATTCTGAGTCAAAACAACACAAGGCTTCTCAGATCCACTTCAGAGCAGAGATTCTCAAGCTAAGCTGGACAAACAGCATCAACCAACCATGCACCCTAACCCAGACCTGAGCCGACCTTACCTCCACTCCCTACTCAGTGAGCTGATCTGATCTGCCACCAGGCTCTGCTGCTGAAGGAAGGAGGGATGGGAGAACTCTCCCTGCCCTTCTGCCACCATGGCCCCACGGGCAGCAGCCACCTCTGTCAGGCAGTAGGCAAAATCCAAGGTGAAGCGCAGGCGCTGCACCGTTTCTGTGTGTTCCTGCTGCACTCCACCAGAAGGGAACATAGACAACAGAATGTTAATTCCTCTTTGTTTCAGGATCAGCATTTTAGAATGAAATCTGGGAAGAGTCCTAAAGATTGACGGTGGGAAACCTGCTCTCACCTCCATCAGTGTCTCCTCAGGAAGCTCGGGAGCCTCAAAAGTCACTGGACCGCCCATGTTGGCTGTAATGGGATCAGTGAAACTGTAACGGGGACTGGGCGGGGCCTCGAAGCCATCCAGATAGGTGCCTGTCTGGGGGTAGCGACTAGTTAAGGAGCCTGCAGGACTGCCTGAAGTGAAGGAGCCTGTATGAGTCAGAAAAACACATAAATATGAGAGAATAAAACATCACTTTTCTGCATAAAGATACAAGAGAACCCATCAGCTGTGCTCATTGATGATTGCTATCGGTTTAAAACCAGAAGATGATGCATTTTCACCATTAAATCCTGTGTTTTGTGAGCATAGATTTAGATTTTAGACAGCTGAAGGAAAGGCTCTACTGGTATTTTGGTTAATCCCATATATTCTTAAAACATGGCCACCAAATTGTCGCAAAGCTGAGGCAGCATCTGAGAGTCAGGTCGTTTATAAGTGGTCCGATTGTGGTGCTCCTTTCACAAGCCGCTCCTAAAGGTGTCGGTCCTCCACAGTCCCCATGCAGTCTCTGGTGATCTGAGCTCCAGCTTCAACAGAGAGAAGCTCCTGGAGCTCTGCATCATCTCAGCTGAGTGTTTACTGAAGCGAAGCTTACTGCCCATGTTTACCTTCATTTACAATATTGTTGCCAGCCGGAGCTCCGCAGTAGCTCCTCACATGATCATGACACCACCCTCTGTTGTGCCTACGAATGGTTACCTTTGACACTTGAATCGATACGGTACCAATTCCCGGTGCCTTGGAATCGATACCGGTACTCAACAGTACCAGTTATCGATACATTGAGTGTTTAATTATTAATTAAATCACATTTTTAATTAAATATATTTTTTTCTCAATATATAATCCATCCATCCATTTTCTTACACTTATCCGGAGTCGGGTCGCGGGGGCAGCAGCCTAAGTCCAGAGGCCCAAACTTCCCTCTCTCCAGCCACTTGGGCCAGCTCTTCTGGGGAATCCCACGGTGTTCCCTGGCCAGGTGAGAGACATGGTCTCTCCAACATGTCCTGGGTCTACCTTCAGGTCTCCTCCCAGTTGGACGTGCCCGGAAAACCTCACCAGGGAGGCGGCCAGAAGGCATCCTGACCAGATGCCCTAGCTACCTCAATTGGCTCCCCTCGATGTGGAGGAGCAGCGGATCTACTCCGAGTCCCTCCCAGATGACCAAGCTTCTCACCCTATCTCTAAGAGAGAGCCCAGACACCCTGCAGAGAAAACTCATTTCGGCCGCTTGTATCTGCGATCTCGTTCTTTCGGTCACTACCCAAAGCTCAATATTTAATCTTATTTGATAAATATAACGATAAATAACATACAATTGTTTGTATTTCACCATCGTAGAGCTGTACAAAATTATACAAAAATCAAAACCCAGCTCCATGTACTCCTATTCTTCTTCTAAGCCCCCTGGAATAACTATGAAGAGATCATGTAATATAAACTACAAATGAAACTAAAACAAACTTCAATATCAAACATAAAACCACCACAGCACGTTCATAAAACACACCGTGGAGGCAGTATTTCACTGATTTGCCGGCATGGTGTGTCTTCTTAACAAGGCTTATATGAATACCTGAGCATTTCCTCTGTCTGCAGCTGTAAGGTGGGGTGGTGCCGCTGGGTGGAGAGCCAACAGTGAAGATCACCTGAGCTGGGCTGCTTGAACCAGGAGCAAAGCCTCCTCCACCACCAGGGGGACCTAAAAGATACAAAAACAACAATTATTTAATTTGTTTTAACAAGGATAACACATTTACATGTTTTTGAGGTTTGGATGAAGAAGGAGTACATATTATTGTATCCAAGTAAACTGGTATCTGGCTGTCATGCTTCTAAATGCCTTTCCCCTCTCTAACGGACTCGTCATTTACCACTTGGCCCATGATCTTAATGGTAGATGCTGATTGCTGATTTGGAGCTCCAGTTTCAACAGTGACTAGAGCTTGGGGGGGTCAGGGTTTGAGCTAATCCACGCATCTTATTTCCAGGCTGAAGACATGGCTCATGAAAGTACCTTCTATTTCATAAGAAAATGACATCTGAATAGTGCTGATGGTAATTTTTGATCATATATTGTGCCTTGTTGCTTTGGAAGGTGTAACATAGCATGACACAGCCCCTTTAGAGACTTCTAATGTTGGATAATTAAACTCTGGTTTCCTGTGATTTATGGTGCATCTAATGCTGAAGCACTTTATCCAGAGGATAGAATAAATAAAAGTGAAACACTATTAGAAAGAAATTAACCTAATATGTCTATGGCTTTTTCAGACATCATGTTCTCTGGGCTGCCTCGGTCCACCACATGTCCTCCTGCTCCAAACGCGGCCATTAGAAGGACATCAGACAGACGACCGGCACTCTGTGACCTGTATCAAACAGAGACAGAGAAAGCTTTTTAAACACAACGATAATATTGATACAAAAAAATTAAAAAATTAAATGCAACAATCTAACCTCCCGAAGCTCATGCCATCATCATTCATTCTTTGGATGTAGTGAGCCGGGTTAGTGGCTTGCTGTCCGAGGTCTCTGAGCTCTCCAGGGGCAGTCCTGCTGCAAGGCGAGCCAATTACCAAACCCGTCTGCGTCAGGTAATTCACAAGGTTCGGAGAACTCGGAAGTTTATGAAATTCAAATGGAGGAATGGTCTGAGAGGAGAGAAATGAACCAACGGTATAAAAAGAAGAAATAGAGAAACTGGTTGTGTGAGTCTAAAATTAGTAATGATCTGACTCACCCTAGAGGGGGAGCCCAAGATGGTGGGAAGGGGGTTACGCTGCATCAGCTCACTAAGTCTGGGGGAGGAGTGCAGGGGACGAACAGCCATCATCCCCGTGGAGGGGACAGCCACAGGGTCCGAATGTTGCTTCTTGATTTTCGGCCTTCCTCCCCCGCTCACACACTCCGACAGACAGGGGGCACTGTGGAGCCGTGAGCCCAGCCCCGCCGGTTGTTGCAGCTGCTGCTGAGAGGTCGGCCTCACTTCAGTGAGATGTGGGGCTGCAATGTCCAATGGAAAAGAATGTGCAGAGTTTAAAAGGACGTTTATAGATGCCAACTAACAAGTCCTGTAAATATCTATCTTTAAGAAAGATTTTCATCAGAGGCTAAACAGTATTTTTCATTAAATGAAAATGGATCATTTAAAAACCTTGAGGTGAGAGCTGGAAGGTCTTGGTTCCTCCTAGGGAGAGCCTGCGGGAGGTGGGGACTGCTACCTGCCTGGGGGGTGAAGGTCCAGGTCTACCAGTGCCCATTGAGCTCCCGCTGCTGCAGCGGCGGACCAGCATGGACAGCCTGGTAATGGTAAGATCAACATTCACATCTTCCATTAAAAATGTGTGTGTGTGTGTGTGTGTGTGTGTGTGTGTGTGTGTGTGTGCGTGCGTGTGTGTGTGTGTGTGTGTGTGTGTGTGTGTGTGTGTGTGTGTGTGTGTGCGTGTGTGTCCAGACCGTGGTGAGCCCTCCTGTTTGGGTGACTGGAGGTTCTGCTCCATGCGCTGGTAGTTCTGGACCTGAGTGGGGACTGGGATTGGCAATGACTGACCCTGGTTTCCTTGGTTACCACAAAAATGACTCCCCAGAAACTCCATGGGCCTGGACACAGCAGAGAGGAGAGCAAAGAACGCCAACAGAAAGTACCGGTAATTAAGTCTGTATTAACAAATGCAATGGCATGAACACAATTTGCATCAGGGCTAAACTTTAACTCAACTAATCCTAATTTACCTGCTCAGTCTCTTAACAACCACATTAGAGCCCTGCACTGAAGCCCTAGGCCCTCTGGCCCACGGGCCTAGGGCTTCGGGCCAACGGCTGTGTAATTACCTCGGACACGGGCCGGGCGCCTTTATTTTTAATCAAATTCATAAAAAATAAAAACTGAAACACTTGAACGCAGCAGCACCTGCCTGCTTCTCACGCCCCGTTAGCTCAGTTAAGGTCTGTGTGGTTTATAAATGCGCCTATATAAACGAATCCTCAAACTGCTGATTGAAACATGTGCCCCTATTCTAATATGCCATTTTATGTCCACTTGATATGTCAGAAACCATTCGTTTATTCTCATGAAAACGGCAGCATTCTATTTTTCTGTGAATAAATTCGCTCTGCAGTAAAAAAAATACAGCATTCATTGCTGCTTGTTTTCTAACTGGAGAGCGCATTTTCAGAGCGGCAGATTAAATTTACAAATGCATCCAATTAAGATAGTGTTCATAAATTTCATCTGCCGCTCGAAAAATACGCTCTGTTAGAAAAAAAAGCTGCATTGATGCTGTTTTTCTTTTTTTTTTTTTTTTTACTGCAGAACGCTTCTCACAGATAATTAGAATGCTGAGCATTCTATCACGCTAAAACATTATGAAAGGTTAAAAAAAAGTCGGGCTCGGGTCGGGCCAGAGAATCCTGAAAACCTTCTCGGACCGGGTCGGGCTGGGGCTCCACCTCCTCGGGCCGGGCCAGACTCAGATTTTAGGCCCGTGCTGGGCTCTAAACCACATCTGCTATAAAATATCACATGATCTGATCATGATGGCACCACACACACTCACACACACACACACACACACACACACACACACACACACACACACATACACACACACACACACACACACACACACACACACACACACACACACACACACACACACACACAGCAGGGCCCTCATTTATCAACCTTACCTACGAACAGATCTGTGTGTATTTCATGCGTGGGAATGATTTTACACATTGTGTGGTATTTACCAGTTCGTACATGTGTGTGAAAATGTTCCTTAATTTAAGAACAGCTCTGATCATGCGTAGGAACAGCATCTAGTGGTAGAACGGGGGAACAGCAATTCTGAAGGTCTCAGTCACCCATGCGTGTTCCTCATCCACAAATTATATTTATGCACAATTCCGGTATTGATATCGATAAAAGTTAGCCGATACCAGGAACCGATGCCAATGCAGATGCTTGAAAGTGGCTTCACTGTAACTTGTCATTTCTGTTGACCTAATATATTAGTTTTGTGATCATTTCTATTAATATATTTAATTTTTTTTCCTACCACACAGTCTGTTCCTGTTGAAAGCAAAAAATAAAGTAAAACCTGTAATCCAATTCATTGCATTTTTTTGTGTGGTAGACATATTGGTAATCGGCGAGTACTCAGATCCAAGTATCGGTATCGTATCAGTTTGGAAAAAAGTGGTATCATTGCATCCCTCATGCTTACCCAGTATGCAATTATGTAGGTGGAAAAACGACTTTTTCGCATTATTGGTGCAAAAACCAATAAAAGACACATGTGACAGATGGGAATCTGACATTATATCATGACTAATCTGAGTTATTGGAGGACTTAACAGAACATGCACACTGGAGGGAACGCATTCTCCGTGAGTGCACTGATCTCAAAGGAAATCCTTCTTTTATGCTGTGATTTGGGACGACAGATAAACCGCACAAATCCGATTAAAGTTCATATTTTGTTTTACAACTACGAGAACCCCCAGAACCTGCTCTGCTCCCCGGTCATGCACGCCGCGTTGCCAAGGTAACCAGACTGAATGACGGGTCAAAGGATTTCCAAATAAAACTAACTCCAAACAGAACAACTCCTTAAATGTAAAATGTAAATAACAACCCGTTACTCTACGATTTATCAGATTCATTCTTTTATTTATTCCCGACGGGAACCTCTCCTCTGTCCCGACCGCGTTTATAACCTCTGCAACTTTCTTTTCACTTTGGCAGCCAGCGTTTCAATCTCGTTGACAATAAAGTTTTTTTCTTTTTTTTTGAAAAAAAAAAAAATAATAATAAAACAAAAAAAACAGGGAATTCCCTCACGTGCTAAGAGCGTAGCCTGACCAAACATGGTTAATTGAGGGTGTTTCTGAATGTAAATGAACAGGCACGAGCACCTGGGTACGCACAGGTGGGATTTATCATCAGACGATTGCGGAGGTACGAGAGGCCACCGCATGTTTCATAAATCAGTCTTTTGACTGTTCGTACACACATTCTAAATCTCAGTCATAGGAGGGAATATTGGGCAGTTTCTATGAATATTTGCTCAGCTCTGTTTACCTGGCAGGACTGGGACAGCCACTGTGGGAAGGTGAGTGAGGAGGTGTTTTGGCTTGATTACAACCAGAAGAAGCCAAAAGGGAGCTAAAATAAAGCAAAAATAATAACAGAAAAACACAATTATATCTTAAAAACGAATAAAGTGAGTGGTCATGCTCACTGGGAAGTATTTTTGGGGAGGATTAGGCACATTTATTACAATAAATATGAAAACAAGTCTATGGTTCTCACCCGCTGTTTGTCAGGCTGTCCTGCAGCACTTTGCTCTCACATGTCAGCTCACCTGCTGCAAATGACAAAACACAGACAGAAATGAGCAATGGCAGAGAAGTAAACATACAACCTGATATTCATTTAAAAACTCATTCTTCATTAAGAATCAAATGTAACTGGAAAAAATTACTAGACTAAAAGAGGAGAAACGTGGAGATGTTTGCACAGAAAGTTTAACATTATTACCAAACATTAACTCTATATTATTACTGTTTTATAGGATTAATCCCCTCAGAAAATTATTTCAGGAAATTAACCCAATTAAATTCTACCACTTATCCCCACAAATGAATGAAAAATGCAACAAATCAGCAAGAATATTGCTGGTTTTCTTGGTACAGAAGGTAAAGTAGGACATTTTATTTTAGTTGATTCTTCACACCAGATTTTAATCAGCAGGTGATTAACCGGCTTCTACAGAGCTGCTGAACAGGTGATTCAACTGAGTTGAAGCAGGGAAACCTTTAAAACATGCTGAACAACGGCTCACCAGGACCAGGGTTCCCTACCCCTGCCCTAGGGCACATACCCGCTCCACACAACTGTTAAGTGCAGTTTCTGGTTCTACCTACATAATCACTGAAACCCACTTTTAAACAAGTGTTAAAAACTGTTTAGTGTTACTTTAATGAATGAATTGCAACTAAATTGATGTAAGTGCATATATGAGAGCATACAAATGAATATACAGGTGAAACAATAAAAAATTAGAATATGGTGCAAAAGTTCATTTATTTCAGTAATTGATCTCAAAAGGTGAAACTAATACATGAGATAGACTCATCACATGCAAAGCCGGATATTTCAATCATTTATTTGTTATAATATATTTATTTGTTAGAATTGATGATTCTGGCTTACAGCTGATGAAATCCCCACATTTAAATTCTCAGACAATCAGAATATTGTGAAAAAGTTCAATATTCTAGACTCAAAGGGTCACAATCTAATCAGCTAATGAATCCAGAACACCTGCAAAGGGTTCCTGAGCCTTTAGATGGTCTCACAGTCTAAGCTGGATTACTGACATAAATGGACGTTTGCACCATATTCTAATTGCTGGAGTTTCACCTGCAGATACCTGAGTACTTGAATAATCTAGGTATTTTTTACAAAATTCTCGACAGCTGCAGCCCTATTAGAACTTTGGGTAAGGCTTTTGTGGAAAGTTTAAGTTGTCCTTACTTGTAAAATGAGCGGGCACCATCACAAAGTCATCTGTGTCAAAGGAGGAGGAGTTCTTGCTACTGACATCTCCTCCAGATGAGTCCTTCAGGTGAAAACCAGTAGCCTCCTGGGTCGGGGAGGCCAGAACTTTGGTACGCAGATTCTGAGTCTCTGCAAGAGACTGCTGTAAGACAGGAAACAGCAGGTAAACACAAAGGGAGTAAAGTAGTACTCAGTGAGAGAGGGCCGGAGAGGTTTATATAATCAGCTTCATGAATCAGGACAAAATGAAAGAAACAAGAAAGAAATACAACAAACAGAGAAATGCTATGGATACAAACCGGTGGGGAGGCAAGGTGAGAGGTGGAGGAGCTGCTACAAGAGCTGGCTGATGCAGAGCTGGGCAAACAGGTCATGGTCACTGTAGGGGTGGCTGGAACAAAACAGGCCCAATGATTTAAAAATTAAACAACCAATATAATTACAACTTAACACAAATCATATTAATGGTGTTCAATATTAGTCAAGCATGGAATCTCTGCCTTACTCTTTTTAATGGATGAACTGGCGTCCAGGAAAGGATGACAAAAGAACTCGTCTAACAGAAACACAGTTAAAGACGTGCTGGCATTTAAATTCACACTTTAGAAAAAGCTCCGATTCATTTTTCTTTGTTAGACTTTCACTGACCGAACTCCATCCGGTCCTTTGGGTTGCGCTGCAGCAGGCCCAGGAGAAGGTGCCTCAGATGGGTGGAGGTTTCTCTGGGGATGCTGCAAACAAATAAAACAGACAGAAAACCCACACGTTTAGATAAAACGTTTCCTAAAACCAAACACGAGCAGGGGGCTGTTTCTACAACAGCAAATACAATCAAGCGTAATCAGAATCAGGAATACTTTATTGATCCTGGTGGGAAAGTTGCTCCAGACAGTAAAATAGCAACAAAGTGGTCGACTACATGGCCAGTTGGAATATTAAAAACATTCCAGATTTAAAACAACGATCATGTCTTGTTGGAAATAAGAATTATAACTGCTGTAGTCAACTTTTCCGGGACTTTCCACCGGACGCGAGTCTATTTTATTTTAAAAGTCACATGCAGATTTCCAGTGCCTTAACTAGTAGCCGAGATAAACGGAACAGACAGTAAACCAGAACTATAGATACACGCTGCCATCTTTGCAAAGTCTACAGCGAGCTTCATATCGATTGCCAAGAGCAGCCAGCTCTCGTTGAACACACACTTTCTCGTGTTTTCGATGACAAGAAGTTAACTTAACCTAACTAATCATATTTTAGCTAGCAGCAAACAAGCTACAAACTCTCTGTGCTCCGTGTGAACTGAGTGTTCATAGCCTGCAGTTATCAGGAGACTTTATTCATAACACACCAACACAGCCCCTCAGAAAAAGGCAGACACCAGATAACTGAGTTTTATTATTTTAAATGGTGAACGCTTCCCGGGATTAAACAACTTAAAAATTAAGACTTAACCTAATAAAATTTTAGACGCCTGGATGAAAATCTGGGATTTTTTAAGACTTTTCACTTTACTCTGTAAACCTGATAGAGTTCTAACCATCGTTTATGTTTTCTAAGGTGGATTAGCTGTGGCGGCCATCTTGAACTGAGAGGACTCCAAGCAACAGAAGAACTCGGATATTTTTACTCAATACAGAATCAGATCTGAAAGCTTACTTTGGGCTGAGATTCTTGTTTTTCTCATAAAACATCCGGAGGTCCTGAGGGCTGCTGGCCTGAAGATAAAAGTAGAAAGCGCGCGCGCACACACACACACACACACACACACACACACACACACACACACACACACACACACACACACACACACACACACACACACACACACACACACACACACACACACACACACACACACACACACGCGCGCGCACGCACACACACACACACACACACACACACACACAGGTTAAAAAACACTGTAATCTATCGGTGTTTAGCACATCTTTTCCATAGTCTCAAAACACTCTACTTGTTTGTGTTTTGAATAAATATCTCATTTCACACCTGGATGGAGTCACATTTAAGATGATTTAAAAAATACTGCTGAACCAGTTCAGGAGACAAAAGAATGTGTTGATGACATCAGGTGTTCCATTGGGGTTAATCTTATCTTTTACTCCACAAGCAAACAATGAAGTGACAATAAAAACGTGATCAGAATAAAACGAAGCAAGTATGCTGCTTCCATGTTCCTGACCATTAACCATTCTTACCCCAGGTTAAGTGACCCCTGATGGGAACTTCTGCTGGACCGGGACAAAGCAGCCATTAGCGAAAGAGAAACACTTCTGCTGGAAAAGGCATCACAGGGGTTTTCTATTCCACATTTACCTGTCTTTATCTGATTCTGACACATAAACAGCAAAATAATTTTATGATCTTAGCAGGTGTTTTTCTCTTGTGGCTGAGAGATTGTAGGATAAATGTTTTAATTTTGGGGTAAATCTTTGAACAATGAGCAGTCTAGATGTGAGGATGCAAAAGGAACGGAATAATTTTGCCAAGTTGCAGATCTTGTTTTGTTCTGCTGCTGCTGCAAGACATTTAAACAAGACTTGAAAACTTGCAGTTATGGAGATAAATAAAGAGGGGCTTGGTAATCAACTCAACAAAATAACTGTATATTGAAACAAACGTGGAGTTATGTAGGCCAGAGTAGAAAAATACTAAATATGAGGGATGTCCCGATCAGATTTTTTTGCCCACGAGTCCGAGTCATTTGATTTTGAGAATGTCCCGATCCAATACTTTAAACAAATTAAAAAAAGAATAAAGAAAGCGAAGAAATGGATCGAGGATGTTCCGTAATTTTTATTTAATAAACATTATATTAATGTTTAACAAACTTCTGTGAGGTAATAAAAAACATAAATTCTTCACTTTTGGACTTTAGTGCAAATATAAAAACAAATAACACCTCAAATTAAAATACCTGGCAGGGGCCTATTCCTTGATACGACCCTGAGTGTGGGACTGAGTTTTGAAGGTGATGTGAACTGTATCAAATATATAAATATTACATGCTGATAATTAATTGCTTTATAAAGATAAAACGTGTAGTAAGATAAATCTACCTACATTTTATTTTTCAACAACTTTGTTCAGTTTTCTTTTTTTTTCCCTGCTTTCCTGTCGTGTCTGTCTCTGATCTTCCTGCCTCTTTTCTCAGTCCTCAAGAAAAAAAAACCGCTGCCTAACTTTCTACTTTTTCACCTCACAAGTTACATTTCAACTAAGCAGATCAAAGGGATCAACCGACCGCAAACATAGCGGGGTGCGGTCACCGGCGCATGGGTGATGAGCTTCACTGCAGTGGAGCGCTTCAGACACGAATAAAAACAGAAAGTACCAGAGAATATGAGCGAACACGAACGATCGCCTGTTAATTATATATTTTGGGTGTAGCCACTTTGAGAAAGTTACTGTGGCCGTGCGCAGGACGCAGCTGTCTGGAGCACGTCAACAATCAGCGCTCTGCAGCTGTCTGCTCAAAAGAATCCCCGCCATACCGAGAGTCCAAATAAATGATGTAATACAGGTAGAAACAGCATCTTTTGTGGGTCTTTTCTGCATGTGTAAGTTGAGGGCTTCACGGGAGCCCGACAACATTTCAGGAGAACCAGGTTCCCCATAGCTCTCCTGTAATTTGAATCCTGTATCCGAGTTTGGATTGGGAAGTAATGACCAATCGTGGCTGAAACCACGCGACAGGAACCGATTTGCGATAACGTGACCGGATCTGGGCACCCCTACTAAATACAAACCTATTTAAATTGAATGTTTATGCCCATTTGTTCAATAAACTGATCAGTCACTGATCAGCATGTCTGGAAGAGGCAAGGGAGGCAAAGGACTCGGAAAGGAGGTGCCAAGCGTCACCGTAAAGTTCTCCGTGATAACATCTAGGGAATCACTAAGCCTGCCTTCCGACGTCTGGCTCGCCGTGGTGGAGTCAAGCGTATCTCCGGTCTAATCTATGAGGAGACTCGCGGAGTGTTGAAAGTGTTCTTAGAGAATGTTATCCGTGACGCAGTCACCTACACCGACCATGCCAAAAGGAAGACTGTGACCGTAATGGATGTGGTTTATGCTCTGAAGAGACAGGGACGTACACTCTACGGATTCGGAGGTTAAATGACTTTATGACACTGAAACAAGAGAGTTCAGTGGCCTAGTGGTAGAGTGTCCGCCCTGAGACTGGGAGATCAGGGTTCGACTCCTGGTCGGGTCATACCAAAGACTTTGAAAAAATGGGACCCAATGCCTCCCTGCTTGACACTCAGCATTAAGGGGGATGGATTGGGGGGTTAAACCACCAAATGGTTCCCGGGCGCGGCTGTGTCTGCAGCTCACCGCTCCCCCAGGGGATGGGTCAAATGCGGAGAACAAATTTCGCACACACACCTGTGTGTGTGACAACTAATGGGACTTTAACTTTAAATGTTTGTGTTATTATGGTGTTTACCTGAAAAGGAGCTTTTCCAGTCAGGCACTGAAACACAATGGTTCCTATACTCCACAAGTCAGCCTTGGCATCATAGTTCTGGGACATGATGACTTCAGGAGCCTGTTGGCAACGATTAGTGTAAAATATAACTAATTACATCATATGTCAGCTGTTACTAGTGTTCAGATTGATTTTAGATAATAAAAATTTAACAATAAACATGAAGAAATTGGCTTTTTCACATAGAAAAGACAATCAGTGAGTTGTATTATTTGTGAATGATTATGGACTTTTTTCTGTTCAACTAAAGTCCTACTAATTGAGTTTACCATGTACATGGGGGACCCGCAGAGTGTAGCAGCCATCATGTTGTTCTGCAGATGCCTGGCGAAGCCGAAGTCCGCTGCAGGGAAAATAAAAGGCAGATAAGATGAGCGGGATGAACTGAAGGTGAACAGTAATAAAAAAGTAGATGGAAAATAACTTCCCAAAGAAAAAGCTGAACACTCCAATCTAAAACCAATAAAAGCTACATTACAGTAATCCAGCAATAAAAAGATAGTGGTATTTTCATTATGATGACAGGTGGAGAAAATAAAACACACTTTGGAAGTTTTCTTTGTCTTAGGGGCATGGTTTAATAACTCTCACGTCTGTATAAAAAACTGTAACAAGTTTTGAGTTAACAGCTGTATGAATGACATGTTTATTTCTAAAGAGGTAAACAAGTTAGAAATCGTTTTAAACATCCCTGCATCGGTTTCAACAGTGTGAGAGTCGCCTCACACAGCCGAGACGTAACTGCTGCTGCAACAGGAGATGGGAGGAGCAGAATGAGCCACAGAACTAAAGGTCATAGCAGCAAAAAACCCCGTCTGACAGACAACCACGACCGGCTTGTATCTTATAGTTATGATGATGAACGAGATGTAAGGAGATGACATCATAAACCCTGAACTCTGTGGAAAAAAACAGGACTTGTCTCCCAACAACCATGCTGTACTTTTCCTTACAGAGTTTCAGCCATTTATATCATGTATTTGTATTTTTATAATAACAATAATAAAATAAACAAGTTAAGGTTGGGCGATTGGATGGACTCATGGACCATTGGCGAAAGGCTGAGCCCTTCGCTGATCGGTTTTACAATATGTTTTAAGCCTATGAATTCGTCTCGTGGAGGGGACGTTACAAACTTCTACATCAAATCAGTGTTTTTGCAACACTCTGTACATACTCAGTCTTAGAAAGCTGGGATTTGTGTGATTCCAGTCATTTACAACCACAAGCATCTATAACTGTCAACTGCTCAGAAATTCAAAATAATTTCTAACTCAGCGTTCAAACTAAGCCTCTTATCATTGAAAGAAGAGAGTCCTCTCAAACAAAAACCATCTTTTTACATCCACAAGGGTCCGATAAAAGTCCTCCAATAAAATAGTTAATCCTCAACAAGTCTTAGGTGCACAATCCAACATAATATACCGCTGAAAACATTCAAAGTTCTCTTCAGGTGCGTCTCTTAATTCTCACCATAACCTCTGTTAGCATTCTCACATTAACTTCAAGCTTTTGACTGACATCTGATCCAACAGGTGAAGGGTTGCCCCCAATGCTGAGGGAAAATGATCAACTATTGACAATGGCGGTCAGAAGGACCTTTCCTTATTCTCATGTGTGTAGCTCAAGTCAGCTGCGGTTCAGTATGAGCAGCAAAAGAAATTTGAAAAACATCAGATCTCCCTGGAGATCTGCTTCTGCAAACTGAGTAAGAACGACTGTGACTGGTCTAAATTTCACCTGCACGAACAAGTCGGCCATTGTTATTTTTTGGAAAGAAGAATATGGCTTGGAAAATGTTTATATATCGCCCAACCTTACAGCCTAATGAACATTCTCCAAGAGCTGTGAATCCATAACTAATCAACCACAGAAAAAACCTGATGGAGCAAACTGATCTGATGAAACTCACCTATCTTGATGCAGGTGTTGTTAGAGTAAGACTTGCGCCCAGGTGGGTAGGACAGCAGGATGTTCTGAGGTTTGAGGTCTCGGTGGATTATCCCTTTGGTCTGGAGGACCCGCATGGCTCCTGTGATCTGCTGCAGGAACACTCGAATAGTATCCTCACTCAGCGTGCTTTTAGCTGCAGATAGACAAGAGGGCATTAATACTAAACTGATATCGTTATGTCCTATAGGGAGCCTAGGTCACGCCCATCTACTTCCGGACCATGGGTCCCCAGAAGAAAGAAAAAAATGAGAAGAGCAGAGGAAGATGGCTGTAAGTTGAGCGAACTTCAAATCCTTCCTTCACCAGGAAAGAACCACCGTAAATCTGTCTATGTGGTAAGCAGCAGCTACGCTAGGGGAGAGGAGATGCTGTGGTGCCATATATAAGACGTACAGGCGTCTGATTTGTAGTCATGCTAAGTAAGAAAATTTACAAGCTGATTAATCTCAAAGTACATGACTGGCGTGGTCAAAGCACACATCATTACTCCATTTAAATTGAAGTACAACATACAACAGGTCGTAAGGCAAGCAGATTATAAAATAGCTCTTTTCGCCTCATTCATTTGCATTAATCTTTTTGTTCTATCTGGTAGTGAAGGTAGTGTTGTTAAACACAGAGCTGAGGTTTTTCTCCAAATTAGTCTCCTGAACAGCCCTTTCCATCAGATGCATTAGCAACATCTAATATAATAGACATGTTTTTCCCACAAGCTCGGCAGCAAATCCCTTCCCACCGTGAGCGTTTCAGTTGCAAAATGGCAGCAAAAGTGTTCTGCGTGGGTAATCCTGCAGGGATACAAAATCACAAAATAGCAAGACCACGTGTGACTTTGTCAGTTAGCGCAATAACAAGCAAAGAGAAAGATCGCAGCATGTGTGCAAAAAGGTCTGCAGGATTTTTCTGTTCTCTTTACTTCAGCTACGAAGGGGGTCAACGGGTAATGATGTTCACCCGACCGTCCTCTCATCCAGGGTCAGGTCAGGTGGCCAGTAGTCTAAGCAGAGAGGCCCAGACTTCCCTCTTCCCAGTCAGCCCCATGCTCCCTTATGGGAAGCATTGGGTCTGGGAAATCTTCTAAATGGTAAATGGCCTGTATTTGATATAGCGCCTTCTAGAGTCCTAGAACCCCCCAAGGCGCTTTAAGACACAATCAGTCATTCATCCATTCACACACACATTCACACAGTGGTGGTGATGAGCTACGATGTAGCCACAGCTGCCCTGGGGCGCACTGATAAGAGGCGAGGCTGCCGAGCACTGGCGCCACCGGTCCCTCCGACCACCACCAACAGGCAACGTGGGTTAAATGTCTTGCCCAAGGACACAACGACAGCGACAGACTGAGCGGGACTCGAACCAGCAACCTTCCGATTACGGGGCGAGCACTTAACTCCTGTGCCACCGTCGCCCATTCACTGTCTGCTCTATTCAAATAACCCCACCCCCTGAGAATTCTAACCGAGCCAATCAGCACTGAGTAGCGTACGTCACACACTGCAATGCTCAGTTTTCATAAACAATGAAGATGGTGTCTGAAGCGAAGTTCGAACGGGTCTTTCTTTAGGTCTCCTTCTAGTTGGACGTGCCCAGAAAACCTCGCCAGGGAGGCATCAAGGAGGCATCCTAACCAGATGCTTGAGCCACCTCAACTTGCTCCACTTGAGCAGCAGGTCTACTCCAAGCCCCTCCTGAATGACTGAGTTTCTTACCTTATCTCTAACGCCGGGAACACACCGGCCGCCGAAGCGCCGCGAAATGGGGACCGCCTTCATTCGGCGCCCTTGTTATCCTATTCTATAGGCCACATGGACTGCTGAAGCGCCGCGAAGCGCAGCGCGCCGGCGCTCCAGCCCGCGCTGTGTAGCGATCGTTTTTGCGTCTGCTCTATTTTTTTCGCGAGCTGCGGGTGAATCATGTCAATTCTGGTAGGAAGTCACACCTAGACAAGAGGCAGGCCGGTAAATGTAACAAAATAAAGCATTTCAAAATAAATTTCCCCGATAGTCAAATGTGTTCGTAAACAGACACTGCATAAAAACCACATGAACACACGCACATACACACACAGCAAACTTGTGTGCGTGCGTGACCATGTGAAGGGGGTGTGGTTTTGGGTGTCTTTCAAACGGAGCAAACAGGACAGAGGCAGAAAGTCATAGGCCAGCTATTAACAACTGGTTCACACCATAGGTTCATACAGACGCGGGCAAACACACACAAACAGCAAGGGGGAGGGGGGTGTAGAGGAAAAGAGCAGAGAAAAGGCAGAGAGGAAATGGAGGACACCAAGTAGTTAAAAGAAAAACTACAGCTGAGCCGAGGCGCGCCTCAACTGGAGCGGAGAAACAAGCATCTGGTCTGAACTGAGGAGCAGCGAGTAGCGGCCGAATTTCGTGAGCGCTCCGCCTCCCGGCGCTTCGGCGGCCGGTGTGTCCCTGGCGTAAGGGAGAGTCCAGACACCTTGTGGAGGCAACTCATTTCAGCCGCTTGTATCTGCGATCTCATTCTTTCAGTCACTACCCAAAGCTCGTGATTATAGATTAGGGAAGAAAAGTAGATTGACCAGTACAATGCCTGCATCACTGCAGACGCAGAACCAATCTGCCCATCAATATCGCACTCCAACTTTCCCTCACTGGTGACCAAAACTAAACTCCTCCACTTGGGGCAGGACCTAGAGAAGGCATTCTACGCTTTTCCGACAGACTAATTATCTATTTTATTTTACTAGAAAAGCAACAGTAAAGCAGTATGTGTATTTTATTTAGAAAGTTTTTAGATACTTTAAACTGCTTTTTAGATGCTCTAAACTGTGTTTGACTTCCTGGTCCAATCTGAACTTCTCAGCTTGATGCGTTCTGGAAGCGTAGCGCCCAAAAATAGACTCAAAACGTAAATACAGCAGAGCGCTGCACAACTACGCTTCTGGGATGTGTCTAAAACAAGCCAGATCGCTGCTGGTGTAAGCACACGTTTGCTATAACAACGGCTAATTGCAGCATACTGTGCATCTGGTGGAAAGGCCAAGTTGGTCTCCATTCTAGGATTTTTTATTTATTTTTTTGTTGGTAAAACCAAAGCAAAAAAAAGAACGTGAACAGCACAATATGTTTGCTGTAGCTTGACTGGATTTTACCTGAGCTACAGATGAAGAAAATTCATGATTTCCTGCACCAGAAAAAAACTAATTTTAACTACATTTCAAGTTTAGCGTTTTACTTCACTAGGATTGAGCACATGGCACTGATCAGTGAGGAGTGGATGAACTTACAGTGTAAGTAGTCAGCGAGATCACCGCCATTGCAGTACTGAGATCAAAAAGAGAGCCAGGATGGGAGAGAGATAAAAAGGAATAACATTAGGAGACACATGAAAAAAGAGGACTTGTGTGCAAAGATTAACTCTCTGCTTCAAAGAGGGCTACACAGTAGATGTTTAAAAATGACATGTTCACAGATTTACACACTTCTTCCTATTCCAGGTATTAATATGAATGGGCTGACATAAAGGAAGGCGTGACAAGTGAGGCTCTTTCGTGCAGCAGGGGAGAGAATCTGTAGCCAAAAGTGCAGAATTAAGATATTTGTCATTTTAAAATGACAGAAATAATAATAAAACCTTAATAACATTTTTTCTGATTTTGTCACAAAAGAAAAAAAAAAAGGATTTTATTAAATGAACAACTTATTTGATTTACAGAACACATATTATATCATCTTAGATGTGTTCTTGCTGTGTCGCGTTTCCAATTCCATGCTGTAGTTCTTTTTTTAAAACACGGAACAGTTTTGTTACCTGAGGAAGTTTGCAGCCGCAAACAAAACGTAGTGGGAAAACAGGTAACAAAACTGTTCTGTGCTTTACAAAAAGAACTACAGCATGGGACATATTATATCAATCAATACAAAATACATCATTAACAGGATATGTAGGTTTCAGCTGTATCGCACAGCCCAGATGGTCCATAAATTCTTACAATGGACATGACAAATAGATCAACTTAACCAGAAAACCTGTCAAAAACAACATGCATTTATTCAAACTGCAACAGGAAATAAAAGACCCACACTGCAGGGATTGATAGTTTACACAACAGTAGCCAATTTTAAGCTCACAGAAAACAAATGTAGTAGGTCGTGGTGTGCCTTACCAACAGATACAAACACTAAACAAAGCAGTGGAAGGATGCACAATGGTTCCCCGTCACTCTTCATCAGGTGAATAGTACCAAAAACAGCATATAATTATCGCCTGGCAACCATTTACTGCTTCGATGCCTGAAGGCTTTGCTAATTATAGCTCAGACCCCGACAGAGCCGAGACAATAGGCACTCAGCAAACAAAGCAGGAGATCACAGCGAGCTTACCTCCATCACCAGGTACACGGAGCTAGCGGTTTCCTAAAGAGAGAAAGGATGAGAGAGGGTCACACAAACACACTTTAGTCATAGACAAACAGGCTGTTGGTGAATAAAGCTGGACCATGATTTCAGACAAGATCTTTGGAAAAATAGTACACTGGAAAAGAGTAAGTCAATAAAGTATTTTTTCCATCTTTCTAAGTCATTTCCAACTGAAACAGAACACCTGGCATCAGCTAAAGTTAATGGAAACGTGAATAAGGACAGGGCTGTTTCCATCATTACTTTTATTAGTAAATACAGTGAGAGAAAAGTGTCTAAACTCAAACTAAATCCCCCCCCCCCCCCACACACACACACAAAAACACCAAACAATAAAACTCTTCATCCTGTACGTTTGAGAAACGTAGAGGTTTAATTTCAGTAATTATTATTTCGTTCTAGCTATCCCTAAGCAAACCACCAAAGGTTTTGGAGGAAACACTAAAAAAACACGTAGCTGCTGAACTGCGGAGCCCCCTCTTATCACATGGTAACAGATGACGGCCATCTCTCACTCTGACCTCGTTTCAGTATATCTCTGAATGCAGCGATCAGAGGCCAGTCTGTTTTCTCTAGTTCCGCTGAGTCAGGACTTCTAACCTTAGGTTTAGTCACTGAGGTTCAGGCAGAGACTGAATTTACAGACTGTCTCAGAAAATGTAGGTGCCACACCTCTGCTGATGTTCTCGCTACAGATTTATAAAAACGCTCACTGAGCAGATCCGTTTCAAAGCAACAACTAGAGTATTTCTAAGATTTTAAAGAGTTAGGCAACTTCTTACCAACTCTGCAATGAATGAAATATCAATACACCTAAACATTGTGAATGTGTTGCTGCCACGGAGATCAGAGACGATCTATTATTGATCATTGAAAAAAGTATCTGTGTCACGATCTCCAATCAATTTGTCAACAATCTGTAGTTTTTGGTTTTCAGGAAGTTTATGGCAACAAGTTATTGGCAACAAGTTTAGAGGAGAGGCACGTTGGTCAACATGTCTGGAGATTTTCAGGTTTTTATTGGAAGATGATGAAAAATGTTGGTATTGTCTAACATGTTTTTCCAAACACTGATGGTGTCTTTCTTGTTCAAAGACGTGATCCAAACCTGTAAGAGGAAATCTTGCACATTTATTTAACGACTCTTTTGAAACAGAACTCAGACACATAATGAAAATAATGCTTGCTGATATTGCAGTGTTTGGTTGGTGTCCATTTCTCTCTGAACTATTTAGATAGATTGATGGCTGAAACTTACAGAACTGCTTGGACTGTCGTACCCAGAGAGAGAACCGCTTTTTCACTGACTCACCCACCATAAAAGATGCACAAGCAGAAAAATGCCAACACCAGTGCTCCACTAGGGTTTGTACCGAGAGATAAGACGACTCAAACAAAACATTCTTCAAACGTCCTCTCACCCAAACTCTGGTTTATTTTGTTTGTGAAACAATATAAAATGTTCTGTTTATCACCCAGATGGCAGCGTGTTAATTATGGACTTCAAAAACAAAGGAACACCTGCTGGGTTCAGATAAGACTTTGCGAGGACGTGAGGGACATCATGTCTCAGCTACCCTGGAGGTGCTGCGACAGCGAGCTTCAGATCAGTAGCTAGGCTACAGGCAACAGCCTCGCCGTGACTGAGGTGCAGCAGCTAGTGGGACAGCCAGTAGTTACACAGCTAGCTAAAGCTGCAAGAGAAGGAAAGCCCTAAGCTTTTGATGAATATGTGTAGAATAGGTGCACTACATTTCCCAGAAGGCCTTAATGAAAAGGGATGAGTGAATGCACACAGCATGTAAACACAGGAAGTGATGACTGAGCTCAAAAGGACACAAAGACAGCATGTACACTGAAGGGGAAAAAGTAAACAAGAATCTAAGAATCTAACAAGTCTTTGTTTAACAAGAAGGCCTGACTGTTCAAACTGCATTAGTGAGACATTTATGTTCGACAAATAACCTGCACAGAAACACAAGCACCAGTAATCGGAGTTAAAAAAAAATAAAAACTGAAGCCTTTTACATGTTATGTTTGACTGAAGTACCACACACCTGAAAATCCAGTAGAGCAACAATGTTCTCATGCTTGAGCTCCTGCAAAAATTAAAGAAAAATAATTATTAGAATAATTATGTGTAAGATGCATCCATCCTTTTTACCTGATAGACTTTGTACTAAATATGGGCGATCAGAACTCTTTGTACAACGTAGGAGACACGTCAATCTTTCACTTCGACATAATTATGTTCCGCTAAACAAACATGTCAAGATAACAAGCCATAAAACTTCACTCAGGCTAATTCTAGATACTAAAAGCTCCACAACATCAAATGTTGGAAAACTAGGCCCGCTCAAATATGGAACTACATAATAATAATGTTTTATTTGGTCAATATTAAAATCATGAACATTTACCAAGATTCCATTTTTGGTTCTTTTTAAAACACAGGAAAGGTTTTTCTTTATCTGCTGACATGTAGGGTATAGCAATTCACATTCTGAGAGATTTTAGACTTTGAGGACATCTCAAAATCCCTGCTAACATTTCGTTTGCGGCTGCAAAACATCCTCAGAGCTGATGCTGATGGTGGCGTCACTTCCTTCTCCGTTTATCTGCCGGCAGCAGAGGACGTTGTCGCCCTCTGCTGCCCGATCTCCCCTCTCCGACGATGCAGTCCCATGCGCGATCCAATGAGTAAACTCCATCGTCTCTGTTCATGGTCCCACATCCACGTCTCCTTATCTCTATAGCTTCTTTTATCCATCTTTTGTATTTCTGTTGTTCGGTGTTTATGATCCTTGTGTTGTCCCAGTCCATTATATGGTTTTCTCTTGTGCAGTGATCTGTACGGCTGACTTCTTTATTGTGCTTTCTGCTTCATGTTTTGCTGCTCTTGTGTGTCTTTGACTTGTTTCTCTCTCGCACTCCTTTCTGTGTTCTATTGTTTGTGTGTTGAGTTGGCGCCCGGTTTCTCCTATGTATGTTTTATTGCAGAGTTTGCATGGGATTTCGTTAACGACTCCACATTTATGTCCAGCTGGTATCTTGTCTTTTGGGTACACTAGTCTGTTTCTAACTGTTGTGTATGGTTTTGTTGGTGGACATTTTAAGATGTCCTCAAAGTCTAAAATCTCTCAGAATGTGAAATGCTACACCCTACATGTCAGCAGGTAAAGAAAAAACCTTTCCTGTGTTCACCAAAAATGGAATTAGAAACTGAACACAGTAAGAACACACCAAAGATATTTACCAAGATTATTAATGGAGTTTCAACACTGGAGTTAACATTTTTAGAAGACTGTTTAGAGGTGATTAAAATTATTCTTAATCACACTAAAACGAACATAGCCTCCTTTAAAAATGTACAGATCTATTTATAATGAGATTATTTCAAGTAAATATTCTTGCAACATTCAGATATTAGTTTAAAATATGAATAAACAAACAAATTCAACTGCTAGTTCTGGTGAGGATATGAGCAAAACCTGCTATAAAAGTGGAGAAGAGCTGCTGCAGAAGTCCAGATGTCCACGCAGGAAGTGAGTAAACATTCAAATATTTTGGTCTTTTTAGAGGCTTGAAAATAAAGTTGCATTTAAAAATATCGCAGGCTGCCACACAACGTCTGTGTGGAGGTGATAATTGTGTCATACACCTGTGGTTTGTTTTGCCCTCGTTTTGCCATCTTTGGCCTTCAGAAGGCATGGAATGTCCCCATTCCACAGCATGGACACAAAGCAAAATGTAAAGCCAATTTGTTTTCTTTACAATTACATTATTTTGTGATTTTATTTTCTTTAGTTTTTTGTTGTACACAGAGTGATAAGGGTTTGTTGTTACCTTTGCTGACATGTTTCGACGTTTACTGACGCCTTCGTCAGAACAAACCGCCGGATGTTGGTGGTGTCACTTTCTTTTATCTGCAGGCAGCGGCGGACGATATCGCCCTCTGCCGTCTGCGCCTTCTCTGCTGATCACCCTGTCCCAGGAGTGGTCCACGGTGTAAACTCAGCAAAGGTAACAACAAACCCTTATCACTCTGTGTACAACGAAGAGCTAAAGAAAATCAAATTGAATAACCAACACAGTACGAAGATTATTTTGTGATTGTTTGGAGATGGAACTGATTAAATGCACAGCTCTATGTAATACCACACTTTAACCATCCACCATACAGTTTTCTTGCACTCACCTTCAATATTTTGATCTCTTTCCCCAAAAGTGTCTGAGATTTCGCCAAGTTCTTCTTGTTTATACATTTAACCGCCACCTCCCAGTCATGTTTCTAAAAGCAAATTTAAGGATGGAGACATCATTTTCTGAATGCATTGCATAGTTGTGTCTTTACTTGGCTATTAAACTGTCACTTGACCGAAAATGTCAAAATTATGCAGAAATGCTGGTGATATTTACTTTGTAATAATTATTCAGAGAATATAATGTGATGCCACTGCCTTTTCGTGCAACATTTGGCATATATGACTAAGGAGGTGCATTACACTGAAGCTTTAATGGTTTATATTGTTTTAATCCGAGTACAGTACATGTTTCAACATGTCTATTTAATGGCTTCGGTGTCGAGCTTAGGGGGAAACAATACGAGTCTGCTGCCTACGTTAGAATAAAACCAACTCCATAACAGCACAGTCACGGAGAACAAAGACAGTCGCAGGATAATAACGATCCATGCATTTAGAACATGTTTTACTACAGAAACATCTAACTGTATTTGTAATTGTTGGTTGTCGTTTTTTTCAGGAAACGTGTGCTCTCAGGCCTCTTAAGGTCGTACGATGACAACAAACGTTTCAGATCAAACAGTAAAACGTACATATTTTGTAACAACCAAACCAAATGGTTTAAAATGCCGTTGTAATTTTTAAATGATCTTGAGATTGTGTGTGAGGTCATGCAATGTAAACAATCACCTCTCGGTGTCTTCCTTTGAACACGACAGCAAATGCGCCATGTCCTATCAAGTCCTTCCGACTAAACTCAAATTTCCCCACCGTCTCCATGTCGATAGTCTGTGTTTGTTCCACTAGGACCTGAACAGATGACAAGGAGGCCTTAGGCCACCCTGCTGCTCGGTTAGTCCTTTCTCCTCCGTCAAGTGGGGGCAGCAGAAGGGACGTTCACCCCCTCTTTCACTTGCCATCAACTGGCTTCCCAACATCAAACTGTCCTCTTCTCTCATGTTCCTACGGTTACGTTTTGGAGTTTAACTCCTAAAAGTGTTGTATGGATAATTCCATCTCTAACAAAGCGGCCAAGACGAAGTTAGCCAAACTTGCAAACAGCAATCGCAGGAGTCTGGCTCCTCTCCGAAGTACCACCTTAAAAAACAGCTTGCAGCGTTGTGTTTGTATACAAGAGGTCCAGACTTCTGTCGTCTGTAACGTCCAACCGACAAAAATGGTAGAAGTGATGATTGTAAACGAAGTTCACAGCGTTTTCTATCCTATGAGCCACGTGAAAATTCCGTAAAATGTCTTGGAATAGCAGCTAACTCGCCGCTACTCACAGTAGCGATGCTGACAACAAAGCAGACTCTGGGCTCTCCAGGTACAAAACACGCATGCGCAGTACAGTTACAGAACGCGGTTCGTTTGACGTACTTTTTTTTACAGCAAGGAAATGACATCAGATAAATAAAATAAAATAAAATAAAATAAAATAAAACAAAATAAAATAAAATAAAATAAAATAAAATAAAATAAAATTAAATTAAATAATGCTCATACCCAATCTGGACATGCTAATTTTAAAATAAGATAAGATATTACAATGCCAATATAACTTCTACAACAACTACTACTACTACTACCAACAATAATAATAATAATAATAATAATAATAATAATAATAATAATAATAATAATAATAATAACAATAACAATAATAATAAGTCCTGCAAATTTCAACTCCCACCTCCACGTGGTGCAGGACGGGCAACGTAGGCATGACAAGCCAGTCATGTCTCGGCTAATGGGGCTCTGACAACATTTCACTATGATGAGTCAAACAATCAGAAAACCATACCGCATTAATAGTCGTGCAGGTCAACAAGGAGCGCGTCATTCAGCAGGGGACCAGGCTGATGGCGAAAAGTGTGCTACTGGAACAAACTCCACCCACCCTCAGGCATCTGTGGACCAGCTATCTGAAGTGATCCTTCAACCAGCCACCCATGATGTAAAACTTACCACAAATGAAAACAAATGTAAAAGGAAGAAACTGACTAGGAAGGAGTATAAACAATTTATGGAAGCGTACATCACAGCTCAACTAAGACCATCAGGAGAGAGCAACACTAAACAAACCTTTACTTTATGGAGAAATGCAAACCCCACATCAAGACCCAACATGGACCCCAACAAACTGTCCAATGTAAGAAGGGACATCATCAAACAGAAAAGACTTACAGATGCAGAGGTGGAAGCTATTAGGAGAAAGGTCAGACTTACCGTAGAAGAAAATGAAAACACAGTGGAAGACGGCAGACATGAAGAACAGGAAGATAAAATCAGGAATGAAGAAGACCAACCTCAACAGCAAGAAGTAGATGGAGTGACTGAAGAGGGTACCAACAGAACATATGAAGAACACACAGACTTTGAAAAAGTCAGAGACAGCATACTCCAGAAATGGATGGAAGTAAAACTCTAAGGGCTGGAGAATCAAGACAAGCTGCCTAAGATATGTAGCAACAAAAATATCAAGAACCTCATCAGCCTAGCCAACAGAGCAATACAAGATATCAAATAAGACTATTCTAAACCAATGGACCTCACATCAATTAATGAAATATGTTATGCAGCAGCTACATTAATCACAGACTTCAGTTGCGCCAAGAAAATAAAAAAACAAGGAAAAAGAAAACAGCCCAAATGGAAGACAGACATTGAGAAGGACATTCTGAAGAAGAGAAAAGATCTCTCTCTACTCACAGAAATTGAAAAAGGTAACATTACTAATAAAAAAGAAAAGAGAGGCAAATGAAGAAGAGGTATAACTTCCAGGACACAACTGACATTGTGGAAGCAAAAGAAAAGCTCAAACATCAGATACAGGCCAAGGCACAAAGAATCAGAAGATATGAAAAGAGAAGTAAACACTTCAGACACAACCATGTTTTTAAAGTTGACCCAAAGAAGTTCTACAGAGAACTTGGCAAGAAACAGATAAAAATCAAAGAACTACCATCTCTGGAAAAAGTACATCTCTGGAAAAAGTAGAAGAATTCTGGAGCAATGTTTGGGAAAAAGAGAAAAAACACAATGAGGCAGCACAACGGATCAAAGAAGAAGCAGAAAGATTGAAGAGCTGACCTGTACAGGAGTGGACAAACATCAGCAAGACAGAAATAATACTGGCACTAAAGAAAGCAAATAATTGGAAGTCACCTGGAGAAGACAAAATAACTTCTGGCTTAAACATCTCAAAGTCATACATGAAGATCTTGCAAGAGAATACACAGAAAACATTAAAACACCAATAAGGAGCCAAATCTGGCTAACACAGGGTCTAACATATCTGCTACCCAAGAACAATGACACAAAAAACCCTAAGAACTACAGAGACCAATCACATGCTTACCAACGATGTACAAGATCCTCACAAGTATCATACACCTTCCTCGACAACAATAACATGCTACCACCAGAACAAAAAGGCTGTAAGAGAGGAAGTTATGGAAGCAAAGACCAACTCCTAATCAACGAGATGATACTGGAAGACAGCAAGGGGAAGAAGAAAAACCTGAGTACAGCATGGATAGACTACAGGAAAGCCTTCGACAGCGTACCACGCTCATGGATCATCAAAGTAATGGAACTTCATAGAATCTCATCAACTCTCATCACCTTCATGAAGACAAGTATGGAATCATGGAGGACCACTATGATGCTCACTTATGAGGAAGGATCTATCAAGACAAGACCAATAAAAGTGAGGTGTGGTATCTTTCAAGGAGACTCACTATCACCTATCCTTTTCTGTCTGTGTCTAGCCCCACTCAGCACCATGCTAAACAACAGTGAACATGGATATGAGGTTCAAGGTAAGAAGATCAACCACCTTTTTTACATGGATGATCTGAACACCAATGACAAAAATGATAACCAACAAGAGGGACTACTGCAAATAGGCAAGCTGTTCAGTGATGACATCTGCATGCAATTTTGACTTGACAAATGTGCAAAGGCTACAATCAAAAAGGAAAAACTCACATCAACATCAAACATACAATTGGACCGAGACTGACATAATGGAGCTCAATCAAGAGGATACCGTAAATCCTCTAATACAGGCCCGGGCCTGTATTTGACTCAAGCTCATCAAGCTCCAGGCCTTTATTGGAAGGAGGGCCAGTATTAGAGGCAGACCTCTATTTCTATTTGAGCAAAATGAACTAATGGTTCGTTGGAGTTTTTGACAATTAATATTGAGCCCACATTTTCATAGTTAAACACATTTCTTTTAACAACGATAGTTTCTGCTTCAGCCCTCTCCCCCCTCCCCCTGCGCAGCGGCCGCAAACTCACTGATGCGCCTGCAGCCTCTCAGAGTTCCTGCTGCTCTAAACATTAAAATAATTATTTCATTTTCTATTCCTCACTTCTGATTACCTTCAATGGTGTCTGTTTGTTTCAACCACCAGGTACAAAAACTAACTTGTTTTTATTTGACTATTTTTCTGTCCTGTCTGTTTATTATCTTCCTGCATCTCCTCTCAATCCTAAAGAAAAACTGCTACCTGGGTTCATATATATTCACCTTATGAGTTACCTTTGAACTGCAGTTCTAAAAGATCTACCGACCGCAAAAACAGCGGAGTGCTCGCTGCTTGCCGGCCGCATCAGTGATCGGTGCGTCACCGGATGACAAGTTGATACGCCCCGCTCCACAGCAAAACGCATCAGACGCAAATAAAAGACAGAAAACATCAAAGGAAATGAACCGACATGAACGATTGCGTGTTAAATAATTTGGCAACACCTGATTGTTACTGTGGCCGTGCTCAGGAGGCAGATCTACCGACCGCAAAAACAGCGGAGCGCTCCCTGCTTGGCAGCCGCATCAGTGATCGGTGCATCGGAGGACAAGGTGATGTGCCCTGCTCCACAGCAGCGAAACACATCAGGCGCAAATAAAAGACAGAAAACATTAAAGGAAATGAACCGACATGAACGATCGCGTGTCAGTACCGACGCTCTGGCAGAGCGCGTTGCGTGTCCCCCCCCCCCCCGAGCGCAGGAGCTTGTCACCTGCTGACAGCATGCTGCTGTCTTTTCCGAGGCCTGCATCTTGCCAGTAATTATCACGTGACAGCGACTAGTCGATGACAGGCATAAAAAGTCGCTATAGTGAAGTCGACTAGTTCATACAACCCCTATTGCTCCCCAGTGTTCTGCAGCGCACGTTCTCTTTGAACTTGATATCAAATTTTCGCCTCCTCTTCGTCTCCGCACGGTTAAAGTTACCCTCGCGGTCTATCACTGGCAAATCAAAAGTGAGACGATGACACAACCGCCCCCGTACTTGCTTGTTACCACATTCCACCCGGCCACAATAAGAGACCGGCCATTATTCACCTCCGCCGACTCCGACACCGGCCAAAATTGGAGACCCGGCCTTTAATTGAGTACCGGCCTGTATTAGAGGATTTACGGTACAAACAAATATCTTGGGGTCAATGAAGGAGATGGAATACAACATGCTACCATGAAAGAAAAAGTAAAAAAAGAGTATTTGACTTGACTTGACAAATGTGCAAAGGCTAAAGAGTACTACAGAAGAGTCAGGCTTGTCATCAAGAGTGAACTTAATGCTGCAAATAAGATCAAAGCCATCAACATTTTAGCTGTTCCAACTGTTACAAACAGTTTTAATATCATCAACTGGCAACTTAAAGAAGTAAAGAAACTAGACACCAAGACCAGAAAATTGCTCTGTGTATGAAATGTGCTATATGAATAAAGCTTCTGTGCCTTGCGTTTACTTGATGCTTGTTTCCATGCAAATAAACAACAAAGAAAGAAGAAGAAAAAGGTTTAAAGAAAATAATTTTCTTTTTTTAACTTCTTCAGATTTCGCCTATCCAACCTGTAAATGTTCCAGGTTTTCTGAGATGAAGAGGAAACAATCATCCTAATCATCATCATTGTTACTATAATCAGTTTCATCCCCATGAGGTAACAGTTAAGCAACAGTTGAAAAATACTTTACAGAAAAAGAAAATATGGGAAAGTTAATCAAATAGTTGAAAGCATGTAGATGCAGGGTTTCCCAACAAAATCTATGCACAAGATTTAAGATGTTTATTTGCTCAGTTACACATGTATGTGAAGTGAAATGTGACCCTGAGCTACCCAGACAGACAAACTCTACAGCTCAAACCAATATATTAAAGAATGTACATAATAAAAGCCTAAATAAAACAGAAAGCAGCAACATTCTTCAATGGAAAAAGACAAACTTATTTGTTCTTTTATTACGTGTAGATTAGGTCACTGTATTGCCCTTTTCATTAGTATTTCTGAACAGAATGTTCAAAGATTGCAGGCTGAGAAGCACATTGCACT